CCCGGATCCTGCCGCTCCCAACCGCCCGTGGACCCGAGAGCCGTTTCGGCCATGGTGACCCCGCCAGCCTGGCCAAAGCGGCTTCCAGCGCTGCCTCCCTGAGGCGGTTCCATCGCGGAGATAAAAGCGGAGCTGCTGGCGGCGGGGGCATGGGCAGCGCTGGCAGAGGCGCTTCCTGCGTTGTGAACTTCYCAGCGCATGGGATGAGGTTTATTTATGTGAGAGGCGCCCTGTCCATCCATGCCAAAACAAACAGTTGTCATATTTTAATTACATGGACAATCAAGTAATTCCTTCACTGCATACAGTCACAAACCTCTTAACCTTTCCTGCCAGCTGGCACTGATTTACTGCCACTTTTCCTTCTCCGGGGAGCCATGCTGTTGTTGCACACAAATACCAAAGCAAAGGCCTTCCATTGGGATTAGTTACTTAACAAGCACATTGGTATCCCCTGCTAACATTTTCTTCCCTCCTGTCATACATCAGGGAAAGCATGAGAAAGGCGTCCACTTTATAAGTGGTTTGAGAGGTCAAAATCCAAGAGCACAGCTAGTCTAAACTATGTTTTTTTAATGCAAATCCAGTGATAAAAAGCAGTCGTAAATAGTTTTATCCATCTTTGAATAGTGTGGAGGGAATATGAGGAGAAAGGCCAAATATGAGCAGTTTCACACCTTCTCTTTCCCTGTTAATCTAGGCAGTGAGGATGTGCCTTTCTGAGAATACAGTTACAAATCAGCCCAGCCAAAAAACGTTTTATAAATGAAGGGCTAAACTGCCCACTGCATGGCCCTAGGTCTGTGTGTGTGTAGTGCGTAGGACAGAAAGGCCTGGGCCTTGCGGAACTCAGATGGGAAGGAAAGTCTCCAGGAGTGCAGATCTCATTCATTGCTGGGAGTGAAAACCCTGAGAGTGTTGAGAATTATGTTGATCCTGAATATACATATGCTGTTCTTGCTTTATACTGATGTGATCTTTTGTTTTCTGGCATGATGTGTACCAAGTTCATCTTTCATTCAGCTGAAGGGCAGCTGTTCAAATGGCCTCAGAAGGGCAAAGTGAGAATGCAGAGTGTCTGCTGGAGCCTCATACATCTCCCGTTCGGAATGACATCGCGTTTCAGTGGGGAGCCATTCTCGCTGCAGTGAAAGATCAGCTCCCATCTCTGGACTCTGACACTTCCACAGTAAGCACTTCTTACACGAGTCCTTAGAAAAATGTCTCAAAAGCACGAGAGACTCACCTTAGCCAGGCATTTCTGAGTATCCTTGAGCACGGTATCCTTGATGCTGCTTTTGTGCTCCTAGTGCTATTGTAGTGACTATTAGTCATCAGACTGTTGCATTAGCAGTAATTGCCAGGATGTAATTACCACCACATCTTGTGCAATATTTGGAACCTAAAAATGAGACTGATTTTCTAACCTGAAGTTCACACAAGAGCTACAATTTGGTGGCAGTAATCCAAACATRTATCTCCCTAGTCTGAGGTGCCACTTCTCACACTGTCTTTCCTCAGGTGATTGTGCGCCTCCAGAGTTGACTGCTGGGGCATTTTGTCCAAACCAGAATATTCTGTTTGTTTTCAAATATGTATTTCCTTAAAGAAAATATTTGTGAACCCTTAAAGAAAATACTTTGTTCTAGCTTAGTGTGACCTTTTATCATACAAAATGAGCCCTGTGACCAGTGCCAGGAATGGAAATTTCACCATGGGGTGTAAAGCAGCTGTCATGAAAAGCAGTGTGATGAAGTGGGTAAAAAGTTGTACAGATTCCATGACTTGGTCTCTGTTCCTGGCTCTGTCAATAAACTGTTGGACAAATCATATTGCCTCGGTGTTTCTCAGTTSCTTTCTGCCTACATTCTGCTTTAGTTATTTAAAGCAAGCATGGCATTTTAGTGTGTGTGCAGTACACAGCAAGGCCCTAGACTCAGGAACGAGTTCTAGGCATTCTTGTTACATGAGGATACGATAGTGTTAGGGCAGAAGGATGACTTTGTGCTTTGGTGCTAAGTACCTGTAAATCACATTTAACATCCRTTTTGTTTGTTTGTTGTTTTATTTGTTTGTTTTAACTTAAATAAATGCTCTCCAAATTTTCTTTTTTTTTTTTATTACATATTGAGCACAATGGAGGAATTGAGGCAATCTCTTTGGCATTTACATACTACCCTTAATTTGCATTCAAAAGAGCTGATTGTATAATCCCTTCCTGCTTAATATAAAACAGCAGCTTGCTGAGACTGTGATTTCAGTGTTAACACCTTTGAGTGATTTCTGCTCATGTCAAGATACATTTATGCATCTGAGATCTATGATCTCAATGGGTTGTGATCCTGCATTTGGAAATGACAGTGGCTAACAGGATTTTATGTCCTAAGAGTACTTTGGTCAAGCTGATATGCATCTTTTTAAGAGAAAAACAATTCTGCTGCAGTTTCCTCCATGGTAAGGAATGTTAATTACCCCAGACAATGAGAATTCTCCATAGTGCGAGTTGCTGRAAGTGTCACATCGCAAAGCAGAGAGACAAACAGGAAACTTGGTTTCTTACTGTCTGCTGAGGAAGTGCTTAATCTCAATTTGGTGTCTGTACATAAAAATTCATCTCAAACATCTATTATATGTTGAGGAAAGAGCTTTTCCATTCTATTTAAAATCTGTCCACAGCAGGTGGATGTTGCTTTGCCATTTGAATCGTAAATGAGGCAGTGGAGTCTGTTAGATTGACAGGTGCATGGGATTATTTAGGAATTAGAGGACTTGCCCACTCTTGTCCTTATTTAGTTCAGGGGTAATGTTAGTCATCAACCTCCATGGTAATATAAGGGTGAGGGGGAGGTTTTTGTAGCTTTTGCTGATGTAAGGCCACTGTAGTGATAGTGTAGGTTACTGAATCTTGTGGTATCAGACTGTCTAGTGAAGATATGACAAAGAATATTCTGGTTTCTGAACTGTAGTGAAGTGGTGAAAGGGTGAAATTTGTCACTACAAAACAGWTACTTARTTGGAGATTAGAGTTTCTCWTTTATTTATTTATTTWTTGTTGACAGTCTGATTGTGAGAGYGAYGAGGAGCTTTTCATCTTCCAACGAAAACATCCAAACTTAATTCCTGACCTGTCAGAAGAACTGATGGAATTTTCCTGGGAACACTCGAATATGCAGGTTGTTGATTGCTCTGTGTAGACTGTACTACTGTTAACGCCACTCTTTTGGTCATCTGCAGTGTGGATAGCTACCTTTAGTGTAATTACTTGACTGATTTTTTGTCGTATAAGACATGGTCACCAGTATTATTTTGCACTGTGGTTTAGACTTTTCTTTACATAACTCCTCTTTGAAGCTTTCTCTGCTTGGGAGACTTAAGTCTTTTTCTCCATGTCCCGTCTTCTTGAAATTTCTATTATTGTCCTTCTACTCTTTTTTTTCAAGACCTATGACATTCCTTAGTCCCTTGTATTATGGATTCCCTCTATTCCTCTCCAAAATCCTAACCTTCATTTTACTCATTATCCTGTCTCTGAAGATATCTTGTGGCGTCTTCTAACTCTAACAAAACTTATTTTGAATAATATACATATCAACGGTGGGGAGATGCTGGTTGCTGTGTAATCATAAGTGTTCAATGAGAAACARTAGCAGACTGCTAATCAGAAAGAACATGCAAGTCTTTATGGGTTGATGATTATACCAAATTGTTAAAGAAGAAGACTCTACTTACTGAGTCTATGGCCCTTTCTGTGATAAACTTATTGCCTGCAGCTCAATGGCTGAACATGGGTTCCCTCAGGCTCAGAGGGCCCTGTGAAGCCACTGAGCATCCATGCCTTAACAGTAATGCTGCACAATGGCTTCTAAACCTTCCAGGGTTTGATATAATTTCAACCACTACTTTATGCAGCTAGAAAATGTCAGTCTAGGACAGTGGAGAACAGAGAGGACTAGTATGAAGCTAATCCCCTGTACAACTGCTCTGATTATATTATATCTAATACTCATCATAGGAAGCTTGAAAACAAGCTTCAGTCTTCCCATTATTTCGTCATAGTGAAGACTAGCTTCCTGTACCACTTTTCTGCTTCTTTTATCTTGGTGTAAGACATATCACATTATGACTAGATATAAGGCAAATTAATTTCAAGCACTTTATTACTTTCTGAAGTTTCAGGCTTTACAAAGTAAACAGTCTTACTGCTTTCTATGGCAAAACATGCTGTGTGCTGCAACCAGATGGTGTCTGAGTTGGAATTGCTGTTTGCCAGTCCCTTTCTTTTGGCTTACAGTCCACTTTTGTAGCTTTGTAGGGGAGATGTGACCTTCTGCATGTGTATTTTCTCTACCTGTAGCAAATACAGGAAACAGCAAGACATCCRTGGAAGGTCTGGAATGAAGACCTGGAAAGTTTTGGCTTGCAGAAAGAAACAGAGGGTGTCAAAGTCTCTGCAAAAAAACATGTGCAAGTGATTAAAGATGAAACCTCCAGTCTTGCCAGCYATATTGAGGAAATTCCAGGGCCAAAAAGAACTGTTCTTGAAGAATCTCTTGCAGATTCTTTTGCAGATCAATTTGAAGAGAAGGAACTGGACAGGAGACAGGATGGGGAGACAGAGGAATTTTGGCCTGATATAGTGTTCTCTATGGAAGAGCCAAGCAATAAAAAAGAGAGAAGAAAATTGATAGAGACAAAAATACTCTCTAAAGTATTTCTGGAGCCATCMCCAAGCCACACAGAGCTAAAAGTTGAGCCAGCCTTGGAGGCCACTAGTGTCATTACAGAACAAACCACTGAGGAGGAAACTTTCTCACATGAACATCCTCAAGAACTAATCCATTTGTCATTGAAGGTAAGTGAGCCTAAGAGATGCTTTCTAGAGCTGATGTTCATGTGGATGGGGGAATAAACAACCAAATGCTGAATTCTGTACACACCACAACATTCGTATTCATATGTGCATGTTCAGGAAAGCCAACCACAAAGTCTGTCCCTGAGAAGACATCAATAGTTTCTGTTCAGTCAGATTTTTTATAAAAACTGTGAGGATTCTGACTGTCCAGCATCTTGYCTTTTCTTCCCTGATCCTGCAGTAATGCTGGGGTGAGAAAAAGTAGTATTTGGAGTTTTTCTGAAATCCAGGTTATCTGACAGTTAGATTTATTATTATAGTGATTTGTATTAAAAGAGTAAGCACAGTTTTAAAAATAAGCTAAGTATTAATTGCATTATAATTAGAACAAATTTGTATGTTGTGCTTGACTTCAAGTTGTTAGCTAAAAGCTGCCTTTTATGAAAACAGCACCTGTACTGAACTGTGATTTGGTTCTCGTGATAGTGCACTCAGTTATTCATCAGTTGTCACTCTTTCCAATCCAATACATCTAAATGATATTGCTGAATCAAGATTAGTTTCATGTCAGGGTAAGAGACTTCAGAGAGACTTGTGGCAATCATTAGGCTTTATCTTTCTTCAGCTGCAGACTGCAATGTTAGAGTAGACCTAATCATGGTTCAGCTACCTATGGAGATTTATTGGTCTGGAAAGAGTGAAAATCAGGTCTCAGATGCAAGTGATAAATGATGAAGATTTTTACAAGGTGAAATTGTATTTGTTTTTGAGACTAGTGCTGCTTTTCTAGAAAGCTTGAGGTGGCTGCATGAAAGGTAGGGTTTTGTTGCAGTTGTGACATAATTATGACAGCCAACTTCCTTTTCCAAAAATCAGAAGTATTTTTAAACAATATCTGCTCTGGTGGTAGTATAGACTAGATGTGCATATCTGTAATGAAAAATGACATTCCAAATAGTGTTCATGAGGGAAAATCAATTGATGTTTTAAATGCCTTTTGGGTCCTCACAGGTAGACTGGTGGTTATACCTAAGTTAGCAGCAGGCAGTGTGAACGTACCTTCAGCCAGTGTATGCATGGCTAAATATTCACACTGACGAGATGTTGAGATCATCTCATCTTCTCATTTTGGATAAATAATTGTAAGATCAAAGCTAATGTTGACTCTGCTTAAAGGAGTAGGAATATGCCCTGGCTTGAAGCTGAAGGTGGAAGAAAATGTTGTGGGTCTTTTGTTTCTCTTATTAAGGCACCGTCAGTTCAATCCACGTTAGAAGTATCTGTCTAGGCAGATTTTTTTAAGTGTGGCAGGAGACAGTATTCGATATTTGAATATAGTTAGATCCTTCATCAWGTTTTGTTAGAAATTATGACGCACTTGCCTGTGCCACATGTGCAGAGCCATGACAGTAAGGGTACGTAGGCAATGTTCAAACAATAAATACCACTTTTTAAGTCAYGCTCAGCTGTGTGGGCTCACGGCAAACCTGCTGTTTCTATGCTGGAGCACTGGCTCATTTACTGGCAAGTGAGGGCAGCATAGTACTGAAGATGAGGAGGATAAAATTCCAGATGTTATCCAGGCAGATGTGCGGCAGAGCATCTGATGGAGTTACCACATAGACTGTGTCTGAATGGGATTTCTACATTGTAACAGCCTTTTGGGCATGGATTTTCCATCACTGTTTAATCATCTTCTTTCAGGATATTGAGAAATGGGATCTAGACAAGATTCTTGAGGAGATGGAGCAGCAGAAGAGTGATTGCACCTGCTTAGAGAAAGTTGCCTGCTCTTCAGCACATCCTGGTAACACTGCAAAGCTAATACTACCTTTGCTGAAAATGTTTGAAAATAAGCTTCATTTTTTTTATTAAGTCATTTCCTGCAGCATCTTCTTGGATGTTGAGATCATAGTTGTGCTTTGATTGCCTGTTTAAAGCATTGTAGGAATTTATTATGATTTTTTAGTTTGAGCCAGTGCTTTGTGGCCCATTGTGGTCTGAGAGTGAATCAGGGACAAGACAGATGAAGGTATGAAGTTGAGCTTAGTTAGAGCCAAATGCCAATAATATCTTTTTCATCCCCCTTCATCTGACAAGCTACAGAGAAAAGAGACCATGTGAAAACAACGAAAGGGGTACATAGGGTGATCCCTTTGCAAAAAGAGCATAGCTGGTCTTTTTCCTTTGTTCTTTCTTAGAGACCTTGAGGGCTAGGTCTGAAAATGAGCTCATGAAAAAGCTAGAAGAGCTGTGTGCCAGGCAATCCAAGACATCTTCTCCATGCTGCAAGTGGCTGTCAGCCAAGCTCTCCTCTCAAGAACAGCAACAGAATAAGAAGTAGGTCCTCTTCTCTGATTGTCACATTTGTGGGGTCATCATTAGTAGAAAGAGGAATGTCTGAAAAGTCATGATGTCTCATAGAGCCTTGTCTCTATAGCCAAAATTTTGTTTTCATAGTTAGAATGTGCTACAGTTACATTAGAGGAGAAAAAAAGGGTCAGTTGTTCATGTTGTATATTTGATAATGATTTGATTTGATTTCCAGACAGTTCAGAGGCAACAACGTTGATGGCAGAATGGAGGAAACAATAGCAAGAGAAGCCAGTAAAGTGAAAGGTGGAAGGTGACCTTTCAGGCAGAGCAGAGGGAGTTAGGAAGATATTTGCACTGTGTATTCTCCGAAGGATAAGATAAAATTGCCAAAGGAAGCRGAGAGGATAAAAGGATCTATTTTACTCATAGACTCATGACTTTCAAAACTTGTATACCATTTGGTACCGTAACTGTCTCCTTTCGTGTGTTTTACAGTATGATTTGCAATGTGACATGCTCGTCACTTTTTAAGAACAAAAAATGAGTCGCAGGAGGCATGAGGAGGGGTTTGCCTAGAGGGAAACTGAATCTTTAAATTCAGCTCTGAAAGCTTGTGGTCAGTAGGCAGAAGCTGAGTTTGAATCTATGCCTTAGCCAAAGACAAAATTTTTTTCTCAATCTAATTCTGATTGTAACCAGTGTCCTGCTGAACCTTCTGCTTGGTTAAGGAGGAGGACATGCTGAAACGGTGTTTTCTGTACTTAGGGATGTTGCCTTCCTGTTGTCTTCACCAAATTCTGTAAGGATGAAYGTGATGAAATTACAGCACCCACCAGAGCCTCCAACAGTTTACATTGATTTAAGAGATGCCAAACCACAGAAGTCAGTATCATTCCCTGCTGAAAAACAAAGGTAAATTTTGACTTTGCTGCTAATGAAAAGTAGGTAACCTTCTCTTTGTGTCTCATGCTTATGGTGAAATATAACCTTTAAAGTTTTCTCCACTTTTCCACCTCTCTTTGACCTTAGTAGAAAGGGATAACCCCTAGCTGAATATTGTAGCAATCTCAAGGAAATATAACCTCTGTCACAACAAGCAGAGGTGCAAGCAGCATGGAAAGGGCATGCAAGTCCTCCAGGGAAATAACTTTAAGCAAATTTTCCATCTCTGAAGAATTAGGTGATGTCTGCAAGCAGTGCTTGGAGTTGCCTGCTGGAGTTGGGCTAACATTCTGATAGCACTGTATAAAAATGGAAGTTCTTGATTACATTCTTGGGAAACAACTGGTGTTGCTGGCTCCCCAGTGTCCTGTGTGAAAAGAGGGCCCCATTGTCCTGTCTGGGAGACCAGGTTCTTCTTGAAATCTGCTACAGATTCTGGCAAACATTCTTTCTCCTAGAGCTAATGGGGTCTGAAGTAGCAGTTTGCCCTCTTCTCTGGATATTCACATTTTACGGAGAGCAATTTTGRAAAAAAAATCAGAAAAAATAAGTGTAGATAATAAACAGTAAGGAGCTTTGAATGACCTTAGCTGACATATTGTGTTTTAGTGGTATTGAATATATTTTGCTGGAATGATATTATGACGAACCATCCATAAAACCCAGAAATCTTCCTCAAAAGTATATCTCCCTTTTTTTTCCTAATGTTTTCAGATTTGCCTTCTATAAATAGCTAGTAAGCCAAAATCCAGTTTGAACAGAGTTCACTAATACTCTGGTGTCTCGTTTGTTTCATAGTGAAAGTGACAGCTCCACTGAAGAAGAAGAAGAAACTGTGACATCTACGGACCAAGCAAAAAGGATAATGTAAGATTCTTTACGAGGACTCCAGTTCAAATGACATGAGTGTTCACTTTTTCTTAAAATTAAAGTCATTTCCCAGGCAGTAAGAGTGAAAGCTCACATAGCAAAAACCTCCATTTGTGCTCTTCACAGCAGAAGTGCCCAGCCTAATAATAAATACAAAGTGTTTCCATCYGGCCTCGGGATATTGCTCTGCACTTTCTGTTGCATGATAAAGGTACTGAAGTTGATGCTGTTGATGCTTGAGGCAGTGCAGCACTGTGCTTTACAGCTGCAGGGGAATTACTCAAAAGACACATGCAGAGTAGACATGGGTAGTTGGGAACTTCACTCTCTTTTTCCACTGAAATATTTGAATGACATGAGAAAACTGTGGGTTTTTTGTGGTTCTTTCTTTCTTTTTTTTAGTGACTCAGAACCAAACTTTGAAAGTGTTAGAGGAAGTTGATTCAGACAACCCTTTTATTTTTAGAAATAATAAAACAGATCTAGAAATGGATGTTGATTTAAAGAGGTTATTGAATACATTGCGTGGGTGGGAAAGCTCACAGTTCTCCTTAATTGTGTAGATATATATATAGCCATGGAATCCTGAACTGTGAATTCTTCAATATGCAAAGATGCCAGCTTTCTCCTGTTACTAAGCATAGGGTTTGATTCATACACACTGATTGTTAGACATTTGTTGAATTTCAAGCGCGTATGTCGATTTTAAATCATCTTCACTGCTTTGTGCTCTGGATTATCTTTAGATATCTGATGCATGTCAACACACAACAATACAGAGGGCAAGCAGATCATTTTTTTATTGTCGCACCAGCCAGTTAGTCTTTTTCAGTAGTTAGAATAAATGACTTGCCAAGGAAGAGAGCCCAAACAGTGTAATTTAGCAGTTTAGAACACCTAATCCATAGCCAGCAAAAAGGAGGAATGTGAAGATGCTTGGGAAACTCATAGGCACTGATGCACATCCAGGAGCTGCGTCAATGTAAATCTGCAGGGATGAAAAGCAGAGCTTAGCTGATAGAATTTTCATTAGTTTTAATGTTGCTGAAATAAATACACAAATGCTTGGCAAATAACATCTAATTCTGTTCTCAAATAGGGAAGCTTCATCATTGGAGCAGGGCAAGATTCTTACCTCATTTACTTGAGGTAAACGCTAATTTGAGCTATGTCTTCTATACCATAACATACCTGCCTGTCAGGTGCTTGAAGGGAGAGACTTCAGAAATCTCCAAAAGTCTGCTTGTGAAAGAGGGTGTTTCCTAGGTGTTCCTCTGGGGTTCCAAGAAGCAGGGGTTCCCATTCCTACAAGGTTCCTGATTGGGTAGGTACACTCACATACATTGCCTAACACAGCATCAACATTCGTCTCAAGCTGCTACCCAATTGATGTACTTTACAGCTGTCACTAAAACAGGGTATATTCTTTGGTTATAACCCTGCAATGAGTTGCAGATTAGTGTGAGTTTTACTATATCAAATAATTTGGGAGTCTTATCTTCACTGTACAGGACAGCAAAACAATAACCATATCCTGCTTGATCTGCTGTGGATGGGACATTTCACAGCATAGTACAATCACAAGATTTGGAAGGTGACAGTTGCACTGTCCCATTAACAAGGAAGACACAAGGGTCAAAGAAATTCTAAGATTCCTGGAAGATGTTTTCCCTCTATATGTATTTGAACCCAACTGCTATGTCGAAAGGGGAAGAAAGTCTGCAGACTATCTGATTGCCATGTAAACATTACATTTAGCCAGGGTTCCTCAAATACTTCTTTTAAAATCCTGCTACCTGAAATTCAGGTGAGCAAATAGCCAGGAAGATCCAGTTCACCTTCTGTATCTGTACTGCTGTATTTTGCTGCCTGTGTGCCAGTGCTGCTCTTGTCTGTGACCACTACCCATATATATGCCTAGTGCCTGCTTTGAGCTGTCACTCAAACAAAAGGTTCCTCAATGCGTGAATTTATTCCCTATAATATTCTATCTTGATTAAACCATTTGTTGCATTTTCTTTGCAGAAAGAATTGTTCGGGGAAAAGCCTGCTGCTGCAACAACTCCATGCAGCCCGTAAAGAAGCCTCCAGGCATCTTTGTAAAACTTCTACACCAGCTCAAAGACTTGAAGGCACAAAACAAGATMCGGAGGATTTGGAAGAGACGGGTGCCTTGAAAGTCAGGCGAAAACGGTATTTTAAAGTGAGACAAGAGACCAGCAAGGTGATTTCCAGGTATTTCATGAGTTTGGAGACAGAGAATGGAAATCTCCCCTTGTCAAACCATGGGGTCAGTGAAACTAACACAGAAAGGGAACACAATACTGAGACTGAGGTGGTTCAACATCCAGGAAATGCTCCAGAATCCCCTCTAACTGCAGTGGAATTGCTAAGGTACCATGCCAGAAAAAGTCATCAGTAGTTTTGATTGCAGTTTATCTAATTGTTTAAGATTAAAGAACTTTTATTTATTATCTTGTCTGTAACTTAGGGAACAAAGATGTGTCTTGCATTGCCTAGACAGACAGACAAACATGGCAGCTATTGTTTGATRATTTTAGAGGCAGCCTGACTTGGTAGATGAGAGAACTCTCCTGGGATTGGTTATACTTTGCTATGGCACCACTAACATCACAATTTGAGGCATTTTCCTTAGTTTTGATTTTATGTAAAAGGGGGATAATGGTATTAATCTCCTTTATGAAGAAAAATAGTGGGATCTAATAAGCATAGCATCATAGAAAATAAGGCTGGAAGGGACTTAGGAGATCACTCCTTCTCCCTCTATGGGGAGAGATTAAGCTATAATCTAATCCTTTCCTGGCAGATATTTATATAACGTGGTCCTGAAATCTTCGATCGTGAGGATTCCTTGACTCCCTAGGCAGTATATTCCGTTGCTTAATTATCCTTACAACTGTAAAGCTTTGCTTTAAGTCTGATTTAAATTTTTCCACCTCCAATTTAAGCTTATTGCTTCTTGTCCTGTTCCTAGGGAATGTGAAAATGGTTTATTTCCTTTCTCAGTATAAAAAGCCTTTATATTGAAAGATGTATCATGTCTGAACTCTCAACTTTTTTTTCTTCAAAAAAAAGCGATTAACAATTCTGATTCTTTGTCTTGCTTCATGAAAATTGCAAGAGTTTGAAGGTATGATCTCTTTGATTTTGAGAAAGAATACCCATGAGCAGCTGACATAGCACAGAAATATCTTGGAAAGCTAAAAAAGGAGAAATTTCCATGTTATCAACCAAGAAATCACAGAGAGCTTACTCTAGTGTTGGGACCTCTGCCCAGTTGGGCTTAGTTTTATGTTATGCATCTTGCAAAAGGTCTAATTCTAAGATGAAGTCAGGCAGCTGCCTTGTGCCTCTGCCCAGCTATGTTAGAGTGCTCCATTATACTGACTTTTCAAGGGTTATATTAGTTATGTGCTATTTTCAGGGTGAAATTTAACATGTTGACTTTGACATATGAGCCCTTAAAAAAATTAGAATGTGCCTGCTCCAGATACAAATGCTTTGTCAGTGTTAAATGTTTGCCTATACGCAGGCCATGGGACACTTCAGCTAAAATGAGCTTGGTTTAAATGGCAGATGGTTGGCTACAGGTTATTYCTCCAAGGAACTCCTGACATTCAAGCTCATCACTTCCATCAGTTCAGTAAAACTCCAATTTGTTTACCTGCCGTATAGATGACAGACCATCACTTGGCAGGAATCTGAGTTATTTGTTGTCATTATTGCAGAGAGCAAGAGCTCACAGGGGTTTTAGTGAATTTCAGTTCTCTTTCTGGCCAATCTAACTGTTGTTGGGCCACCTGGAGCTTGGATAAAGATTTCTGAAGAAAACAAACTTATTTTTTTTTGCCATGGAGATAGCAAATAAAATTTTACAGCAAACATCAAAATATACAAAGATGGAAAGTCTTGGTTCAGGGAAAGCTTGTCACTGTATTATAGCAAATGCAAAAGAGAGGAAGGGAGTTACAGATCCGCTGAGAATTTTGGTGTGGGAAAGCAGAGTGAAACATGGAATCAGCAGAGGTTTGTTTTTCACTGTCTTAATGRCATGTTCCAGTCCCCAGGCAAGTGGTTGTCACCACTTGTCAGAGATCTGAGTTTGCTCCTTTTCTTTGTTGTTTCACAGAGACATCACTTTGCCCAATTGCATAAGTCTTGGTGCCTCCAAGATTTAAATTTCTCAATCTATTTTAGCCTTTTTCTCCCAAGTAAAAATTAAAGCAAAGAAGAATCTGTATATTTTTCAGGAGAGAAGAAAGAGAGCTATCCCAAAAGGAAGTTCAGATGAAAGAGAAACACAGGAGAAAGAGCTTCCAAGAGCAACTGGAGAGATATCAGCCTCAGCTCTCAGTTACTGGAAAGCAGCCCATGGCAGAGAAAACACCCGTTTTGTTCCACATGGTTAGTAGTTCAGTGTAGGACTTGCCTTTCGAAATGGTCTCCTGGCCAAATGCAACTGTAATCCTTGAAGCCAAATGCATTTTCATTGCATTATTTTAAGTCTATGTTTGTTATGGAGTGGCAATACCCGGTTAGATGAGCAATCCTGACAGCTCTTCCTTCATGCTAATGATTCCTTAAGCTTCCATCTTTCTTAGATGGGGAATTCCCTCAAAACTGCCCCCTCTCCTTCCATGCTTGATGTGTGAAAGCATTGCAGAGGTCCTGGTTTGCTGAAATCAGTGGGCTCAGTGTTATTTACTTCACAGGAATCTGATTTTAATACATAATTTTCGTAACGTTTTTGAAAGGGATATTTTAACTGTCACACATTTAAAGCAAAGCCTGTGTTTTTGAGTCCCTAGCAGCTTTATAATTCCATGGCTTTTTTTTTGTTTATGTGTGAATAAGCGATTGATGAGGGTTGTGACTTTAGTAGTAGTTCCTGGGTTTGGCTGATGCTTTTATAAAGAGAGTGTGAAGCTGCTTTTTGAAAGCCCAGAACACATCTCAGAAGACCAGGCTGTTTCTCACTGCTRTAAGATTTATACATCTATTCCTGTTTCATTCTGGCACTGATTTCCTGGAACACAAGGCCAGCTAAGAAGGTAAGAGAAACTCCAAGATTTGCCACAAGTCCACTGTAATGATTGRTTTGGGTTAAGACCAGAAATAAATCTCTTTTATCACTGCAAAAGTTGAAAGATCTTACAGGCTTCTGACTGTAGGGACAAGTTTATTTGTTTTATAAACAGCTGCTGTCTTTCTGCACATTAAAAAGCTCATTGATCAGTGAACTAATCACTGATGTATAGGCCTAAAATTGCCAGCTCAAATTGTCTCTGCTGACTTGCTCTAGTAAGTACAATGCACTACACACAGCTGTGTCTCCTTAGCTGCTTTGATCCTTGTTCTGAAGGTTGTGAAGCCTATAAATACAGTAAGTGCTTGACTCAGCCTGCTGAAAGGGGCTACTGGCAATTCCAGTTAGCCCTTATTAAGATGCAGGTACTTGCTTGTTAGAAATGTGCTTGAGTCTTGTTGACCAATATTGACCCCCAGGAGTGCACATCTATCTACAGGCCTCCAACCAGGCTTTCTGCTGCTGATCCCAACCCTCTGAGCTCTACCTTTCAGCCACTTTTCAATACACCTCACTGTCCAGTCATCTAACACACTTTATCAGCTCCTCTGTGAAGATGTTATGAGAGACAGTGCCAAAAGTCTTCCTGAAATCAAGGTAGACTCGTGCACTGCTCTGCCCTTGTCTTTCCAGCCAGGCATCCCATTGTGGAAGGCTCTCARCATGCTGGTTAAGTGCAATTTCCACTTGGCAAATCCATATTGACTGCTCCTGATCACTTTCTTATCCTTCATGTGCTTGGAAAACATATTCAGGATTAGCTGCTCCAGCACTGAAGTTACTGAAAGATTGAAATCAATAAAATGAAGACAGATGTTTGGTAATGGGCTTTGGAGCATTGCTAGGAAAAGTATGGACTTTGGGATAAACTAACCATTCCAGGGTTTACTTGGCTTCTTATCCTCGTGATCGGCTACCTGGTGTGTCAGGTAAGTGATGGTCTGTTTGGGGAGGCAAAAAAAAGCCAAAATTAGCACAGCCTATAGTAAAAATACTCAGTGGGTAACATTGCTCTTAATTATTTTTCAGAAATATCCATCATTAAAACTAAGAGAATTTTAAAAAGCGTTATCAACCATCATCCATCAAGTGTAACAGTTGTTTATAAGATTATTTGAAATTCATCCAGACAGCAGCATTATTTGTCTTTGAATTAGAACATGTTTTTTTTTCCTTTGCTAAACATAGGGAAGAAAAAAAAGAACTTGAATGTTTTGACATTTAAAACTAAAAAAGCTGTAATTTGGCAGCTGTGTCTCTCAGTGGAAATATGTAATATCTATATATAAACATGTATATTCAAAGGACGAGCCAGAGCATATGAAAGAGTAGCATAGCTTCAAATTTGTTTTTGAAGTCCTTTGTTTTGGCAATGATAGATGTTCAGATCTGGAACATGTGTCATAGTTTCCAGAATTGCCCTGACCAGTTTTAATATGCATAAATAATTGAATAATAAAGAAAAAGTTTAGAAACTCTGCAATTAGGGTAGCTGAGATACTTGGAAAGGAATGTAAAATTTTAAAAAGCTGCATTATGATCACATTAGAGTTCTTGCTTTAACTTTGAAAACAGAGAAATTCAGATTTAATGTTGCTGTCTTTTTAGCTTAACCTAATTCAGTCAAACTCTGTGCTTGGTTTTACTGTCAGTGGGAAACACTAACATAAATGGGAATTAGGTTTGGGGAGAACACTTTCAAAAGCATGCAGGTAATTTAGAAGACCGAGAACTAATTTTCAGAGGTATTTAAGCATCTAAAGAAGGTGCTAATATCCAGTGGTATTTTCAAGATATACAAGCAGCAAATGGAAATCAGTGGGAATCAAGCACTTTATCATTAAGATGCAGACTGGCAGACAGAATTCATCTTTACTTGTGTAATCTTCCCCAGCTCATAGTTTCAAAGATGCATGGAAAAGCCTAAATCCTGCCCCAGCCTTCAGCTCTTGTGAAAGCAGCAGGCACCTTAACCCCATTTTGGCCTTTGGACTGAATTCAGAACTGAAGCCCARTTGAGTAGTGGTAAAATCCATATTGTAAGGTCAGGTTGTATTAATAGCCTAGATAAAATGCATAGGTTTGGTGTTTGGTGTCAGTTTTGGACAAGAATAAGTGTTATTGCCAAGGGAGATGGTGAAGGAATATTGTGCATCATGCTGAACTGAATGGAAGATGTGAGATGAAATGGAGTTGACYGATCACTCCATGGGAGTTATCACTCCATGCTCAATCCATGTGAGCAGCAAGGCAGGGCAAGGAGCAGAGTCACACAGGACCTGAACGAGAAGAGCAGAGCGGGTGCAATGAGGGCAGGAGGCTCTTGCAGCCTCCAGGGAAGTCCATAGTGATGAAGCAGGTCTGAGGTCAAGCTGGATACCCAAGTCAAGAGGGAGGCAAGGCTGGGACTGGGCCCAGGAAAAATAAGCAGGATCAGCCAATAGTCCAGTGACCACCCGGCGAGCCTGCAGTGATGAAGCAGGTCTGAGCTGAAGCCATGCAGTTAAATCAATGAATTGAGGACAGGGTCAAGACCAGTGAGCTACAGAGCTTGTCTGAAGCGTAGCTCGGTAACGAGCAGCTTAGCCTCACGTGCAGCTCCCAGGCCAAGAGGGACAGGCCCCTATGGAGGCTTCTTGCAGCTCTTTCTCCCACATCCCTCCTCGCAGCCGTCCAGTCTGAGGTTACAGAGCTGCCCTGTAGCAGAGCTGGCCTTGAGCTAACCCGCTGCATGGTGCTCGTGGCTCTCGTATTTTACATCCAGCAGTTGATTTGATTTAATTCAATAGGCAGCAAAAGGCAGAGTTAGCTTTTATTATCCAATTATTTTATTGTTGGGCCAAAACAGTGTTTTTCCAATGTGGCTTCAGCTTGATTCTCTGTTTATTGCTTTATCATGATATAGCAGAATAAGATCATGTAATTTGAAAGCCACCTCATTACCAGTACCTTGTAAACACTGTTTTATCTACCTTACATAGTCAAAAACTATTAGGAAATGAATGTGTTGACTCATTTACTGTAGCATCTAATTCTTGGCTACACAACCGCACTGGTTAACTTTGTATTAGTGCTTACATTGCCATGATCATCATGTTATTACAGCTTAGCTTTACAGCTAGCCTACTGAACAAAAACATTTTAGCAKGCAACCCAATCATTCTAGCTTAACAAATATATCATGCTGATGTTTTCTTTTCCAGCTTGCAAGCATAATCACTATAACCCTTCTGGCAAAATCAGTAGTTTTCCTATATTAGTATGCCCTTGATTTGCTCACTGATGTCAGGTGAAGTTCTCAGACCAAAGGATTTTCTGCTTGGGTTCCTGCAAAGTTAAATTTAAAAACATACTAGGGTCAAAACTTTCCTTGCCCCTTTACTGCTTTAATCTTGATCTGATAACACTTTCATGAGAGATCATAGGAAAATTCTTGACAAAATTCTCAGGTCTTGTCTAACACCAAGAATAGTGCTAAAGCATTCAGCATCCAGTTACTGTGACAGTTAGCCCCAGCTTGCACAGTAAGATTGTAAGTAGAAATTGGTTTTCAAAACATGTAGAAATATTTTTAGTTCCTCCTAGTGCCATATGACCTTATATATGGTAAATGCCTTGAGATCTGCACAGTTTTTTGTGATATGTCTTGGATTATTTACCTGTCTTACTGGTGTAAGTATCTGGGATTTCTGTTATTGCAACCTGARTGTCTTGTGGCTTTGTTTTTTGTTTTATTTTTGGTACAAGATTGCTTGCAAAATCTTTGGAAATTGCCTTTGTAATACATTTTACTTGAGCACACAGAGGGCTGCTTAAGGTCCCAAGGTCCCAGCCTAACAGTTTATGAGACAGGCCATACTACTGTGATCATCTCAGCAACTCGACTGTAGAGTTGCTAGTTTTAATTTAATTAAGTGAGCTTCTAAGCAATATTTAAAACAAAAATCTTATTCTTTCCTGCATGGGAGACCTTGAGAGGTTGTAAGATTTCAGCAGGTGTTTTACCTGAATGAATGAAGCTTCTTATGTTTATATATTTGATTCAGAGCAGTACAAAGCCTGTACACTGTACAAAGCCTAACCCACCAGTTACGAGAGGAATRGATTTTTTACTAGTTGTGCACAGAAAGCTGAATTTTTCTCCAACAAAGGGCTTGCTATGTATTTCTTAGGAAGAGGGAAACAGTTATTTGCCTGTTTCGCTTGTGATTTCCTATTTCAGATCTTGTGACAAAAGTAGCTGAAAAAAATATATATCTATTGCTCCAAAGCTGATTTTGTAAGTTTATATCATTGTGTGGCCAAGTGGTGTTTTCAT